TTTGCCTTTGTTTAGCAGTCGTAGCTTTTCCTCATACTCACTTTTATTGTATTATTTACATAAATTGCTCAGTGTGGTGAATATGTAGGTACATAAAGACTTACCGCTCATACTTGGCGTTTTTCTGTAAACTTTTGAATTGCGTTTGTGTGCATGCTGTAGCTCACGCATTACTTTCTGCATAACCTGCGCTCCCATTGTGGCTTCAAACACGAACACAAGCGATTCAGCTATGGATGTAGCTCAGACAGTTATTTGTTTGTACATTACTTGCGTTTCCATATGAAAATGTACATACAAGATGATGTATTGCAGTTTTCTTTATTTTTATTTAATTTTCTTCAATTCTATGTGCTGAAAATCACGTATACAGTTTTGTGTTTCTCTTCTCTATATCATTCAATTTTATAATTACAAATACGTATAAAAATATCCCGACTCTAGCTCCTTCTAGCGAGTTAACATTTTTTTTTTTTTTTTGTAAACTACGACTACTGTGGGTGTATGCGCAAGAATTCACCAAAAAATAAAAATTCGGGTCTTATTTCACGGAAAAATTATTAGATACAAATTTAATGGCTTCCTAGCCTGGGAAAAATGGTAAATATTAAACCAACATTTTTCGTTGTTTGGTGAATTTCATGAGTAATCCTCGCAAAACGAGCAAGTGGCAAACAACACAAAAAAAATTATGCGAAAGTCAACCCCAAAAGCCCAAATACAGAAAGAGCTCATTTGTATTCTTGTCAACAATTTGCACCGTTAGATAAGGTATAGATACCCAGTGGGGAAACTGGCTCGGTACTAGAGAATTTAGAACATTACGCCCCCCGCGGCATCGCTTTTTAGATAGATTCGAAGCAGTCCTAACAATTTGCCACTTGATACTGGCACATTATTGCACAAAAATTGAATGGGCTACAAAATTGTATACTAAAAAAAAACAATAATAATAAATAAATACATATATCGAACACTTCTGAGGAAAAAAGTTTAAAATTTGCATTGATTTTTTTTAGTTTTCTACAAAGTTTTATACTTGGGGTTTTTATTCTTAAAAATAAATAAACATTTTTAATTTTAATTTTTCTTATTCTTTTTTTTTAGAAAAAGTGGACTTACCAACTTTTTGTGAAAAACACCCATATTTCGCTGCTTTTGAACTGGTGGGGATCTAGTTACTATCGGACTGGTTCAATTTTGGCGATACAGATCTAATACTGAGCTAGAAATTTGGTTCACTAGTTCGGGGTTTCCCTGCAGGGTGTGCACAAGCAGACACACCCGCACGATAGCATGCATCTGGGCATATCTACTTACCAATACATATACATACATACACTGCTATAAAAAATAACACTATGTAACTCCACTTAATAGCTTATGGTGGATGAGGCGAAAGCCATGCCAAAGAGTGAGGTAGATAGGACAAAACACACTCACCTCTCTGGAACATGTGACATGTTGACATGCAGCTCTCCTGCATTATCATAAACAACAGCAAAATGACAGTAAAAAGAGTCATTAGTAAAAAAAAAAAATAAACAAACAGAAAGAATGAACAACAGCAAAACTTCCATTATATGTATGTATGTACATTAGACTCATCACCCCCGATACACAAAAAAATAAAATAAAAATCGGTACTGTGTTCCCATTGGAATTATAAAATCTATTATATTTTAAGACGTCCACCAAAATAGTTCGAAAAAATATTAAGATTTTCTTGAGCTGGACCGATTTGAAAATAACTCCAAAAATTCAGTTTTTTATGAATAAAAATGGTTTCTTAAAGATTTCTTTTTTTTTTGAAAAAAATCTCCCGAAATATTTTGATGGACGTCTTAAATTATAATAAATTTTGTAATCCCGGCGGAAAAACCACAACTTTTTTTTTGGTGATGCAGTCTAATGTATCTACATATGTATGTATGTATTAAAAAGTTGATGCCGCAGCAGCGAGGGAGGGGTGGGGTGCACAGCTTCAACTACATTTTAAGTTCCCTTGCGTGGCTGCTTATCGCTCCCCTCCCCCTTTACTTGTTGTTCTCCTCCTTTTCGTATGCAGTTCAATCCGGTTTAATGGCAATCATTTTGTGCGAGTTGTGTGTGTGCGAGCTTGATTTCTGAGTAGCAATTATTGCAGCACAGGAAAAATGATGTTATATTATTATTCATGTACAAACAGACGCACTTAACGATCGAAACATTTTCTAAATACTTTTTTTTTTGTTTTTTTTTTTTTTGGAAGCGCGTGTTTCGCTATCTTATTATTTGCTTTTCTTCTCTTTCTTGCTTGCGATTCTTTTACCTCCTCGTCCAGAGACAGCCTTGAAAAAGATTTAGTTGGCAGTTATTTTTAGAGCGCCCACTTTACAAAAAAAAAGAAGCAAATGTTATTTGTACAGCTTCCATTGCTGGTTGTTTTGCTATTGCGAATTTCGTTATTTTTTAGCGCATTTTTTATGAAGTTGCAGCTATTGAAAATTGTATTGTTAACCATTACTTTGTTGCAGTTGATTGTTTATTGTGTTTTTGTTTTTGTTTACTGGGCATGTGTTTAAATGCGTGTGTGCTGATTTTTAAATTTAAGCTATACGGCTTTCGAGGTTTTTAGGGCAATGACTGGGGGTTTAAAGTACATTCTGGTCGAAGTGTTTTATTTTTACTAGAAATCGTTACGCTAAATTTCTGTCCGTAAAGTTTCTGAATGAATTAAATATGCAACGCGAAAACGGAAGGTTTCAATATAAAATCTTTAGCAGTGGATATGGATATGTTAAGCTTCCTGGAGGAGTTATATATTTTTTTAGGCACAAGCTTCATTGATTTAGAGATTTTTAGCTAAATATACAAGTTTTAGTCGGATTTACATATTATTATTATTTATGAAGTTACACTCTTTACGCAGTAACTGATTTTATTTTATCTTAAGAAAACTGATGTTCTAAATTTGAAACTTTTTTATTAGATTTTTTAGTCTAATAGAAAACTGATTTTTTTTTTTAATTTAATAGAAACCCGGTTTTTTTTAACTTAATAGAAAACTGACTTTTTTGGTTTGTTTTTTTATATTTAATCTTACCATATTATTTTATGTTTTTTATTGTAATTGAATATTTTTGTAGTACATTCTTTTGTTTTTTTTCGTGATTAATTTATTTTTTATACTAAGTACATATTTCGTATATGTCTTATTTTAGTTTTGTTTTTCATGTTTTTTAATGTTTAAATTTTTTAAAAGTCATTTTAAATTTATTTTAATTTTGAATTTTTTTCTATATTATTTATACCGTTTTTTTTTTTGATTTCTGCAATTATGTACATATTTAATATTTGTTAGAAAATTAAATTTGTTTTGCTTTTGCTTTTCTTTTTCTTCCCCCAACTCATTTTGGCTATTTTCTCAGTCACTAACTGCTGTTAGTGGATATCAAAGTTTTCTTTTACATGTAGTACATATCTCAATCATCACTAATTCTGCGTACAGCAAAGAAATTTCCCAGCATTGATTACATTACATTGCTGCATTATTATCATTCGCTCCGACAACGTGACCAGATTCGTTTTAAGTTTTTTTTTTTTTTGTAATCATTACTGACTAAGCGATAAAAATGAAAACATGAAAAAATTACAGTAAAACATCAAGTGGACGTGACCACTCACCTATAGACAGTGCATTTTTTACATTAATATTTTTTTGATTTGATTTGCTCATTTGTTAGTCATATTCTATTTTTATGTTATTTCACGAAATTTATTTGAAAGTTATCCAGCAAGATGAAGCTTTTCCATTTGGGTTTGAAAGCGTGTTGCAATTTTCTGTGATTAGCGTCTCAGCGTTTTGATTGCTCATGTAATGCTTTTTTTTGCAACAATCGCCCGCTTAACCCCACGTCTCCACCTTCTACTAAACGTGTCTTAACATTTGTCAAATTTCGGTTTTTAACTTTGTCCCGTTTTTTCATGTGGGCAACTTGCTGTCTTAACACATCACTTTCAAAATAGCATCAAGCCAGTCAGATCGATCTGTACCCAGTGTAGATAGGGCCGTAAAATGAAAACTGAATTGTCAAACTACGAAATGACAGCTGATGTTCAGACAGCGGTGGTAAGAAATTCGGTAAGACAGATATGGTTTAACTGTGGAAATTTGCGGTCTCCATCTGACATTTCTAACTTAACATAGCTTTTTTGACAGAATCTGTTCAAGGTGGAGACGTCTGGTAACCTCGAATGCTCCATTTTGCTTCGAAAAAAAGTTTTCGTAGACAGCTGAGTTTTTTTTATATGTTAAATGACTACGTAAGGTCTTAAGCACGTCAATATCCGGTATTTCGACAACAAGTATTAACACCGATTTTGATTTATGTTTAAGCGTAGATCGAGTATTGAAATATTTTTTGATTTATTCCATGATCCATATATGACCGAGATATCACATTATGAAATTTTAATATGTATGTATGAATTTCTGTACATTCGAAAATCCGTTAACCCTTTGAACTACATACATATTTTCTATCACATATCCTAATTGCGATATCTCGGCAAAGAAAATATATTTGGACAAACTCAACGGCATTCGAGAGGGGAAGATTCGATTTTTAAGATACTTAGCCAAAGTTTATTTAAGTTTATTTGCGATGCTACATAACCTCAAACAAGTAAAAAACACTGTCTTTGTGCTTCTAAATTAGGATATTTAAAAAACCGTGGAATCGGATTTTCTGCGTCGAAAATTCTATTGGAAATCATATACACATATATGTACATACTACGTATCAATGGTTCTTAACAAAAAAATTAAAATTTGTGTACAATTATAATCCTGACAATTGAAGAAACTTCAAAACAAAAGTCAAAACTGTTTAATACATACTTTTTTGTATCACGATTTACTCTATCCATAAATACCCGAAATGTCAACCCAAAAACCCATACAAATGCACTAAAAAGCAAAGAACTAATCAATTTTTCCATTTTTTCTTCAATTACAGTTGAATTGGGCTGAGCATTAATCGTTCACGCGTCAGCTAAAAAAAGAACGAACAGCACAACAACAAGGCGAGTGAGTGCATCAGCTCGGCAACAGTAAATAGCCAGCATTAAAAAAGTAAAGTAGTAGCAGCAATATCAGCGGCTACCAAGTACAAAATAATCGAAAGTAAAGTCAAATCAGCAAAGGGGACACTGTGTGCCAGTCACCGGTCAGCAGTCATCACCACGACCAACAACAACAACAACAGCAAAACACTTGCTATTTTGATTGCTCTTAAATAATATTTCTCTGCAATTTGCAATTGCAACTGAGTGCGCGCACATAACAACAACAACAACAACAACAATAGTAACGGAAATAACAAGCATAGCTAGCTAGCTTCAACTGGACAATCAGTTCATAAAGTAGCACTTGAACTGAATCTTCAAAAAGAAGAAAAATAAACATAAAAAATAAATTCCACAATTGTTATTTATTTGTCTGGTGAGTATTAATATTTTATATTTTTTCATCAAATGATTGCTAACGAGATCTCTTGTACTAATTTTCATTTTTATTTTTCGTTTTTTTCTTTTCTTCTATTTTTCATATTTTAGCAGCGCTAAGAAGAGCAACAAGCAGTAGTCAGTTAGTGTGTTGCTATTAGAGGGACTCACACTCACACACAAATTTTCGTTGTGAATTGAATTTGTTGTTCGACAAAATTAAATTGAAAGCCAATAGTTATTTGCAAATTTTCTTCAGTGTTCTTGTGTATCAACGAATTGTGTTAAATTGAAAATTGTTCTTCACTTCCCGACACTGTAAATTTTTTTTTGAACGCCAACAACGCAACAAAAACAAAACTTATATTGCAAGAGTACTGGCGCAAAAATAAAGGGGCCCAGAGATTGTCGAAAACAGCTTAATTATTGAGCGAGCGGTGCTAAGAATTAGCAAGGGATTCATAAAAAGGAGGAGGCAAAGTTAGCAAAGTTATAGTGGAAAAGTGTGCAACAAGAAAAACTACAAGCAACTAAGTACGAAACAACTAAACTAAACTAACTAGGCAAACAATAAGTATACAAAACTAAACTACAAAAAAAAAAAAAACCAAACTATGGAACGTGAATCCAATCCGATGCAACCCATGTGCCGCTCTGGTTGCGGTTTCTATGGCAATCCAGCCACCGATGGTCTCTGCTCAGTGTGCTATAAGGTAAGTTTGTAGTGAAGTGACGGAAGTTTTTGTAGAAGTTAAGCAACAAGTAGTAAATTTATGAAAAAAATGCTGCTACTGGCATTTATCTGCATACATACATACATACGCGTTAAACGCAAATTTTTTTGTTATTCTCATCGTGCTTCTTTAAAAATCCCATTTATTTTTAATATTACAGGATTCTTTGAGAAAAAAGCAACAACCTCCTGTTAGCAGCACACCTGTATCAGTTCCAAGCCCACAGCCAAGCCCCACATTTAGTCCAGCCATCACAATAACCAATACAGCACAGCCGACAGTGCAAAGTTTACAGCAGCAACACAATGAAATTAAAGAGGTGAGTAAAAGGGGATAATAGAAGTTCACTTCTGCTGTCAAAGCAATTCGACCTGCGCTTTAAGTAGCTTTGAATCGAAATGGTTTATTAATTCGGACTGCCAGAAGAGCTTAATGTAAAAGTTTGTTGGAATACTTGCGTGCTTTAAAAATTTGTTCTTTTATACATGACCAGGATTTTATGACATTTTTTGAAATGCATGGAAATGCAGCCAAAAACAGAATGCTAGTGGCTCTTTTTTAAAGAGTTGTGAAGTAATCAGATTTCTTCCCAACGTCATTGGTGTTAATCAAATTTTTTTAGGCGCTTCAAGAGCCTGTACAGCGTGAATAAGTTAATGTTTACGGCCATTCCTTGTTCAATTTAAATGTTAACAATTGCCTTATCTACTACACATTATTAAGTTCCTCTTTCACTAACAAACATACATACATAGCTTCTTGAAATCTGAGAAGCATATTAATTTTGTGGTAAACCACTTTTACCACATATCGCACACGTTCTTCAAACGGGACACACCTAAATAAAAAAAATGGCCGAGTTTTTTTTTTGCATAAATCAGTTCGTAGGATTTATCTCCAACTAATGCTAATATATTTCCCTTCATGATTACATTCTCCAACAAGAAAACTACCTGTTTTTGTATTAATTGCCTTAAACGTATACAATCCAGCAGCAGTTATATTTTTGGTTCTGAGTTTTAGTTGTGCCTCTTTTGAAGATGGTGTGCGATATGTACATATGTATTATCAATTTGCTTTCGCTGTTAACAGATTTCACTACAAACTTTGCAACTTGGCGATGAGCTAGAGACTTGAAATTTTGAGTATAGCTCAGAATCCGGATGTTTCAGGTTTCATTGAGTTTTACAAAATATATAGGCGATTTCAGTTTCACAATTATTTTATCGAATGTTATGGACACAATAGAAATGAGCTTATAGTTAGGATAATTTGTCTGACAGTGACGAAATAAGGTGAAATAATCCCGAATTTGCACCACATTCAAAATAGGTTATATTGAGCGACTATCGACCAGTTGAGATAAAGTAGCACGGGTGCATCGTTTTTTGAATGCCATCAGATCTGCACCGTTCGTTCGATTTTCAAAAATGAAGGGCCAAGTTAAAGATGTAGATGTGT